ATGCACTAATCGTCTTGACACAAAGGACGCCATGTCTCTGAATCCAACTGTTGCTTTAGCTACTTTCCTCCTCTGGGGAACATGAATGTCTGGATAAGATTTCTTGGCAAAGCAAACAGTACTTGAGATCTTTCAGTCCGTTGAGCTTTGGCACAAGCTGGAACCAAGGAATGTATGTCAGCAATAACATACAGTAGCTGTATGTGAATGTCAGTTGCAGGTGTTTACTGCTGAAGACCGTGAAATCTTCAAGTCTCTAAACTCGCCAGTCGCTGCTGCAATGATGCTTTCACTGGGGTGTTTGAGGGAAAGAAATATTTAACCTCACGAGGGCTGTCGGACTAATAAAATGAAATCAGAGCAATCCTGCCGTCACAGACCACCACAGGATTAAGATGTCGTCAGAGAGCGGCGCTGAGTGCTGGGCATTCTTCACACATGACGTAGTATCTGTGAGGAATCTGTCCTGCACTTGACTTCACAGTGAGTTTCCTGTGTGGGGTCAGTGTGGTCTATTAAATGTCACTAGAAGGTTTTGGATGGCTTGATGAGATGGAGAATATTCGTCATCTGGAGTGTTTACTGGAGAGCATACAGGCCTTAAGAGGGGCTATAATTCAAACGTATTTCCGAGATAAGAAAGAAAAGTGTGTCAAAGCTTTTTTTATTTGTTACGGGGGTTTTCCTCAGGTCCAGCCTTCAGGGTTTCGTGCCATTTCTTGTGACGCATGTCAGTTTATCATGTGATATCTTCAGATTAGATGGCTCACCATTGCTGCAGTCACAAGTTTACCAATCCAACTGCTTCAGGTTCAGATAACATGACACAGTCAGATTGCCTTTAGCTTAGTCTCTACATGGGGAATTTTCATGTCCAGTACATACAATACAACCCATATATATTGTACTAAACCTGCTTTGCCTGAAACCCAAATACACACAATGTCAGCATTTAAAAGTATAGACACTGACACTGACTGTAATAACACAGTACATTGTCTGGAAAAAAATAGCAGCAGTGAAGGATTAAACTGTCCCTACAGTACTTTTCATACTTGCAGAAAAAAGCCATACATTTATATATAATGTGAACATTATGTACAGTTTTGGCCTGTTTTTTTTTGTTTGTTTTTTACAGTCAACATGAAAATTAATAGCTTTTTTTCCCTGATTTTAGTAGATAGCATCTGTAATTTAACAAAACAGAGAAAATCTGCAAAACAACGGGTAAAAATTATTTACCATTTTGTTTACATATTTTAAATAATAGCAAAGATCTGTGAAATAATCAGATTTTTATAAATAAATTAAGTAAGAAATTGTGTAATTTTATAGGCAAATGTCATAAAAGAACAAATTACAATTAAAATTAACACATATTTTAGATTTTTGACAGTTTTAGCCCGTTTTTTGGGTTAATAGGTAAATGAAGACTTTTTTCTGTGATTTCATTAGTTATTATCTGTAACTTAACAAAAAGGGAAAATAGTAAATCCAGTTCCAAAGATTACTGTTAAAAGCTGGTAAAGAATATTCATTTTTTTTATAGTGTAGCACAGTCTGTATTATCCAAGTACTCTTTTTTTTTTCATATCCTGAGCTTAAAACTGCACAATATGAAGATTTAATTTGTATTTACAGCCTTCTCATGCTACAGTGGGCTGTGGCTTGGCACATATTATTATTTTAGCTCAATTTTTCTTCAATTTCTTTCCCTATGACAACTCAATCAATCAAAATGCTGCATTAGTGCCATTAATCATCAGTAGAATTGGCAGTTAATGGTCAATTTAGGCATTTTGGCAAAAATATGTCATTGTTCTCTCTGGCATCTCAACTCCAGTCAGTCTTCCTAAATAGTTTTTCGGAAAAAATAACTTCACTTTGTTCCGATTTCACTTGAGCTTAACCAGTTCAAGCGTTGAACGACGAGTTGTATCCTAAACTAATCACATTCCTGGAAAGGCTTCAGTAAATGCAGTGGGTCAGCGAGGAATTTAAACAACTGTGCAGTCCAAGTGAAAATCACAGGGAATGCAGCAGGCAAAGCAGCAACTCCCAGTTTAGCGGTGCCCCAAAGGAAAGACACTCGACACCGCTTTATAGCAAAAGCAGACCGTGCAGCCAACCTCCTGCATGGACTTCTAGGTCAAAGTCTAACAATTAAGGAGAGACGCAGCTTCAGCTTAATGGATTCCTACATCAGGCTCAGGATGCCTGGAATTTTAAACATGGTCCAATATTTCATAATAAAAGCATACATGCAGAAGCTCCTGCAAAATAGTGTAAGGTTATTATGACATAATAAGATGTGCCTGACTTCACTGGAGATTGTAATGCATTTAGTATGCACTCAGTTAGTAACATAGTTGTTGCATGTCTACTGTATCCATCACTGCACCAACAGTTTCTATATAACTAAGTAGAGCAGAACAGCAACAAGAGGTAAAAAAGCTCCTGGAGCTCTAATAAACAGTCCAGCCTTGTCCAAAAACAATGTTTTCTGTCTTTCTACAAGTTAGTCTCATGAGAACAAACTGGAAAGGCATTTGGAGTTTGTCCTCAACAAAAAAAACCAAAACAAAACTTTTAAATGATTCAGCCTAAATGACAAACAGATTGATCCGCTTGTGCTATAAAAGCATACAATCCTGCAAAACACTGTAAAAGAAAATTGTTTATTTGAATTCGGACGCTGGATTAAGTTCCTATAATCTTGTCTGTTTATGATGTTCAGATCTTAGCGAGCTTCCACATCATAGGAACTTTACGGGATTTCATCATGTAAATATTCATATTCAGCATACCGCTGTAAATAAAATACAAGACCGTGAAGTGTTCACAAAGACGAAATGTTAGACGTTTATTTTTTCTTAGCTCTTTTTATAGGTATTTTGATTTAATGCGTTGTTGTGTTTGTATTTGCTGAGCTGGGTGGAAAGCTGCTGCATACAACTGTTTTTGCAGAAATAAATGAAGTTGACAACAGAACTCCACAACAGAAGTGGACCTTGCGGTAGGATTGTTTGATTTACAGCTTTGTGAATTTCTTCTGTACACGTGACGCAGGCCTACAGTATTTCCAGAAAGTTTAACACCAGTTATGATTTGGCATTTTACAACTGAGGACATGGGGAAATGTTGTTCAAACAG